CCCTGATACTGAGACCTTGCTCCTGTTTTATATACCTCCCTAATGCTGGGATTAAAGGCGTGTGATCCCAGGTGCTGAGATCATCTTTGTGTGAGCTGTTTCTCTTTAGGACTGGATTAATCTTGTGTAGATCTGGGTGGCCTTGTGCTCACAGAGATCTGTTTACCTCTTAATTTGAGTCCTAGGATTGAAGGTGTGTACCACTACTTCCTAGCTTCTGGGACTAAAGATGTGTGCCTGGCTTCTATGGCTTGTGGCTGACTTTGTTTACTGAATCCTCAGATAAGCTTTAATAAATTACAAATAGTTTATCACCACACCCTCTCCCACAAGGTCAGTGAGTAAGATACATTGTTCCTTTCCCCTCATTTATAGTTGTTTTTTTTTGTATTTTGTATTCTAATCCTTTGTCTGCTATGTGAGTTAATTAATAGTGTCTTTGAGTAGGTGTTTTTCTTTTTACTTTGTTCATGGTAGCTTCTCTTAAAACATTTTTAATGCAAAATTTCTCAACATTGTTTATGTAAGGTATGTGATTTTAAGTAAAAATTTCTATGCTGTTGTTTTGGAGAATTTTTTATTCTTTAGTCCATCAGCAGTCCATTCTTTTTTATGCTATGAGCCAGGGATCTACTTTTAGTTTTTGCTCTTTGTATCCGGTTGGCTCTGTGCTGTTGGTCACAATCCAAATTTTCCCATATGTATGTATCTTCAGGTTTTTTATTTTGTTCAGTTGCTTATGTGTACAAAAATCATGGCCTTTTAATTACTGCAACTTTGTAATATAGCTTGAAAGGAGGTGAAAATGGTCCTTCATTTTGTTTGAGATTGCTTATATTCTTTTGGCCCTCTCTTCTTCCATGGTCATAAAGAATGAAAAGAATTTCATTGACTTTAAGGGCTTGTGTGTTAGCAATCTTGTCTTTATGTCAGTGAGCATGAGCATATTCATGGACTTTTGATAATGCTTGACAATATACTCCTTACAAGTATTCCTTACATATATGCCATTAAATTTAATGCATCACCTATGTTCTAAGGCTTTAAAAGTAATAGCTTTATATTAATTATAGTGTCTAGTTATTTGGTGTTTATAAAGATAATGTAAGGCATATATC